ACTTCCAACTGAAAGCATAAGGCATAGAAAATTCAACCAGAGTTGTTATATTCCTTTGGAAAAAGAAGGGGCAGAAAACGATGTACTGCAACTCTGGATTTCTCAGTCGCTATAGCCATCACTATTTTTTCCCAGAAAGAAATACTAGAAAGCATCATCACAAACAATGATTTCAGACGATTATAAACATCATAAGAAATAGGGTCAAAAAGTGGAGAAAAGTCTTACCAGCCCCAGAAGATCGCCGTGGAGCCGGGCGACCTGAAGAGCATCTGTTGAACAAAACTTTTCTATTTTTTTTTTTTTTTTTGAAAGAAAGTCTGCAAAACTAATTTCCCACAAAATCAGACTCAATTTCCGTTTAAGCCACTGCCTCTTGCAATTCTCATAACGGCCCCCGCCGGCCCGCCAATGGTTAGATGAAAATGACGCGGGTGCGTGTTTTCATGCAAAGCACTGGAAATCTCATGGATTGGGACTAAATATCTGGAACAACAAAGAATCAAAACAAGAATTTTGGAGGTGCGCGAAGGGAGGAAAAATAACCCCGATGTCTTTAAAGATCCTTCCTTTTACTAACAGTTACTTTGTTGAACTAGTGTGACCTAATACTGCTCGTTCTACCGCCCTTGCCTCTCGCGAAGCGCCCTCGAATTTTTTCCAGACACCTGAGACAATGCAGACGAGGCCACCAAGGGAGACAAAATAAACTTTCCGCTAAATGGGAAGGTGTCGCATAAAGCGAAGGCGGAAACGTTATTTTGAAAGGACGGCAATCAAGGCTCTTAGCGTGTCTTGCGCTTGGGTTTTTTTTTTTTTTTTCCCTTTTCAGGGGACAAGCGGAGTTTTTCAATCAGGCACGTGTTCTTGCGACGAGTGTTTTGTGGATAAATGGAACGAGAGAGAGAGAGAGAGAGGGTGGGGAGTACTAGACAATTGGTTTTGCCTGGATATTGATTTCGAGTCTCTTGAGCTGGGTCGCTGTAAAAGTCGACCTTGATGCCGCCATGGAAGTCTTCCAGGGCAATTGCGGGCACGGCAGCATCGGTTCCACCCGATTTGTCAAGAGCTGTTTGTTATATGGGCATTTTCAGGGGATTTGCAGTAATCCCGGGGGGGGGGCTGAGATTTCTATTTTTGTTAGGCGTGACAAAACGGGAGGAGTCCAATCTCTCCTGCCTCTGAGACGCTCCCGGATCTGCTGAAAATGAACCAAACTGATCTGGCGGGAAACGGTTCTCGCGCCGCGGATGCATTTCGGCTCCAGCGCTTCCCATTAGCGCCCCGCATATCCGAAGGTCTGGGTCTTTGCCTCGAAGGTATACCTTTCTGGACCCAGCCTCTCTCTTGCCCCCCGTTTTGCATTTACACTTCATTTGCTTATTTTTCCCCTATCCAAGTGAGCTTTTCCTAGTGAGGACAGCTTGTCCTTCGAAATGAGGTCCAGCATGACAAAGGCTCAACGCTAAACTTCCTTTCTCCTTAATGATACGGTGCCCAAATTTGTAGAAAAAAGCAGTGCCAGATGTAGAACATGATTCCCCAAATCGCCGGTCTAAACAGAACTCCACAAACTGTGCTCAATAAGAATTGAAGCTTTTGGGTCAGATGTTTTGAAAAGTGTCTGTGTGCCTTTAGGAGATTATCAGATATTTCCAGAGACAATATGTGTGGATCCAGACCTTAACAATTGTTTAGTTTTTACCAGGATTTCTCAGTCTTGGCAACTTGAAAAGGTGTGGACATCAATTCTCAGAATTCCCCAACTAGCTTGCTGGTAGTTGAACTTCACACCTCTTTTACCAGTAGTTGCCAGAGTTGAGAAGCACTGGTCTACAGTTTCAACCTGAAGAATCTATTAACAGAACTTGGAAAGTCTAGAAATGATTTCATAGGAAGATAATTTATCTATATCATAATTTTTGTGCCATTCTGTACCTGATACAAAACCAGATCCCCCAAATTTATCCATAGAGTTCATAAAATAATCTGCATGAAGACTGTAATAAAAAATGAATTGCCTGTAAACCATTGCACTCATTATCCATCAGTTGTCTATGTCTTCACCATACAGACTTCATGTCTCTATTGGGTTAATAGACCAGAGCTTGTCAAATTCAGATGCTCGCTGCATAACTTCTCTCACTCAGCCCAAACATCTTATAGAGTTTTTTTTTTTTTTAAGGGAGAAAGGAATGGAGCCAGGAATATTGAGCAAAAAGAGGATATAAACCAGTCAATCAAATAATGAGGTTTTATCCAACCCAATTAAAGCATTTGTACACTTTAATCAGGTTGGATAAGCCCTATTGGGGAAATGTTCTGTATTATTTTTCTTTACCACAAAAAATTAGCCCAAATTATTTATATTCTAGTGTAAAGTGACACTTCATAAGAATGAATTATAAATTATAAAATTATTGGTTCATTCATTGCATTTGTATCCAAAGAATTAAATGCAGTAGAAACATGTTACCTTTTTCCTAATCTAATCATTTATAGGAAGTGGCAATTTTTATAATGAATTCCTTTGAAATCTATACATTATGACCTTTTGAAGGAAAGGGAGTGTTCCTATCTGACATTAAAACAAATTTAAAATAATTCCATATTTGTGGCACATTCTGAGAATTACTATTTGGACAGAATAATGAGAACACCTGAAGACTGGCTTGGCAATCAATATTAATATAAACCCAGGTATTATTATTCCTATATTTGTAAACTGTGACAAAAAAATTCCTTAGATTATTTTGTAATATCAAGCCTTTTATAAGTTTTGGAGTCACACAATTCTAGATAACAGCCCAATCCTATGCAGTTTTATTAAGATTCATTGCCACATCTAATGATGCTTTCTCTACAATGCTTGCATAATTCCATGGAATGTGACCAAGAAAAGGCTCTACTGAGAAGATGACAAGAAGGAAATATTTATTTGCTAATGAAGACTTAATCATAATTGTCATAGGATACATTCTGTGAGAAACCTCTGCTTCTGTTCCAGGTGTATCATGAAATACAGCTGCTAAATCTGAACATCATAGGACATACATTAGCTAATGTGACATATTAGAATCCCCAACAGTTGAAACTAGGAAATGAAGCTGTTATTCAGAACTTTAAACCAATCAATGGAATTTTAAAAGCGCCTTCATTTTTATCCCATAAAGTAGAATCTCAAAAGGTAAATTTCAGTATTGTTTTCAAAATCATCAAATTCAAAAAAAGCTTGTCACATACAATGTGCTGATCAAATGGCAAGCTTCTAACAAAGCCACACACCTGGATCTGTTTAGCATAATAAACTATGCTTAAAACCATGGTTGATCACGTTAATACATTTCTATGTTGCTTTTTAAATGTAGTCATTGATGATTGAAAGTTGCAATTGTCCAAACTTTTCCTCTGTGAATAAACAGGTTGAAATAAATGGGTGCTGTTAATTTGACTTCAACATTGGCTTGAATATTGGTTGGAAATGAATTGTGATTTTACTTCATTCTCAGCATTGTTACTTTCCTTGTGAGGAGATGTCCACAATCAATATGAATGTAATGATCAGTGTGCTAGCCTGACCTTGCAGGAATTGTAATGTATAGATAGAGAAATGTTTGTGAGCAACTGGATCATAAAAGCCTTGGCGAGGCGAAAAATACACTGAATAGTGGGTATTTCTGATTTGGATATTCCCAAAGAATACAGATTTTGAATGTTCATCAACCAGGATATTCTGAGACACAATAATGCTTGTCCTGCTGATGCTATAGAGCTGGTACTGTTAGAATACTCCCACAAGATATGATACTTTTCAAGTGACAGAAAGTGGAAAGTAGAAAGACATCAAGCCATATATAGGAGCAGCTAGCCCACATCAATTCACTTTCACTCTCCAGAGCATCGAAAGCTCGGTAAAGAAATAGTAGGCAGTTTGTAGGGTCACTTGGTCCATTCACTTACTCATTCTTCTTTTTTCTGGGTGACAAAATGAGAACCTGGATTACAAAGCCCCCATTTCATATCATTGCGCTACTTAAAGAACAATTGCAGGTGGATGAATGAGAAATGACAAGAAAGTGATCTCTAGAAGGTATAGTAAGAAGGTCTGGGTTACACCAAGAAATATGAGCAAAAACAGACACCGTTCCTTGCTCACATCTGGAATAACCCAAATCCTCTCCTTCATTCTGACCAGAAAGAATACTTTACCCAGTATTTATCACAAAACCTCTTAAAGAAATTAATAGCTAAATGTTGCCCTTCCAGACTTTCCTGATTGCACTTTCTGGAACATCCTTATTTCCAGTATATCCACCACTAGCCCAAACGAGGCCACAAAGAACGACGAGGAAGCTCCAGATGTGACAGGTGTACTTCTCTTACCTTCACTCTCGTTCTGCGCCACATAAAGAGCAAGGTCTGAGCCTTCATGCCCGCGCCTTATGAGGGGCGTGTTGGGCGGAGCTCGGCGCTGGAAGGGCCACGGATGAGGGCAGGCTGGGCCCCCTAAAGGTTTCTCGCCCAGAGCTTATTAAGGTCTTGGAACTGCCTGCTTCTTGGGACTGACCCGACGCCTGGCAAGCAAGAGCGAGGCTGAACTGGGGTCGGGGGTGAGGGCAGCTGCAGGTCGCTGTTGGGGTGGCTGTTGGGCTGGCGTTCGTATGTGGTCAGCGCCGCGCCGCTAAGCCAGCCCCCGGCTCACGTTACACACTCCTGTATTTATAACTTCGGCGAGGCGCTTCCCCCTCCGATCATTAGCGCGGACCACCTCTGTTCCGCCGCCTGCGAGCCCCGAGCGGCCGCTTCTTGAAACATCCGAGCGAAGCCACGGCCGGGATTGGTAGCCAAGCGCAGGAGATCTGGATTACACCCGAGCGACGCGGCGCGCAGCCACCGGCCTTAGAGGTGGCTGGGAGGAGAGGGGAGGACCGAGTCGCTCCTTGTCCTCCGGCGGGCGTTCTCTGGCAGCGGGGTGGCCGCTCGGAGCCCTGCCGCATGCCATGGATCACACGCTTTTCGGCTGCCTGCGCAGTCCCCACCATCCCCCTGGCCAGGGCTTGCACCCATTCTCACAGTCTGCGCTTGCCCTGCACGGCCGCTCAGATCACATGTCCTACCCGGAGCTCTCCGCGTCCTCCTCCTCTTGCATCATAGCGGGATACCCCAACGAGGAGGGCATGTTCAGCAGCCAGCACCATAGGGGCCACCACCACCACCACCATCACCACCACCACCACCAGCACCAGCAGCAGCACCAGCAGTCTTTACAGGCAAACTGGCACATCCCGCAGATGGCTTCCCCGCCACCGCCTCCACCGCCTCAGTCCGCCTCATCCAGACACAGTCTGTGCCTTCAGCCCGATTCGGCTGGACCCCCGGATCTAGCCAGTAGTCCCCCCGGACTGTGCTCGAATTCATCAAGTTTGGGGACCGGCACCCCGACAGGAGCAGCGTGCGCTCCGGGAGATTACGGAAGGCAAGCGCTGTCCCCGGTGGAGACGGAGAAAAGAATGGGCAAGCGGAAAAGCGACAGCTCAGGTAAAGCCACCTCCCTTGCGTGTCTTCTATCCGGGAAAGTGATTCATTCTCTCTGTCTCTGTCTCTCTCTCTCGTGTGTTTTGTGTGTGTGTGTGTGTGTGTGTGTGTGAGAGAGAGAGAGAGAGAGAGAGAGAGACAGAGACAGAGACAGAGACAGAGAGAGAAAATAAAATAAAATAAAATAAAATAAAACCCGGGATGGGCGATCGGGCAGCTCTGAAACAACTGAAGTCGGGTATTGGATTTGTTCTGGAAGCGTTCGGCGCATGACCGCTTGATACCTCGCGTGCTAGTGACAAGACCCCAGTTGTAGCACGCGAGGGCTTAGCCACTGGCCTACCACTACAGTAACTAAAACGCTATAGTTGCTGCTCAATGTCTCATGATAGAGATAGGTCACAAGTGTTAAGAATACAGATTAGGACACCTTGGGGTTAGGACCCTTGAAGGGTTGCAGAATCAGTCTTTCTAAAGAATGCAGTTTGGGGACATCTAATATTTAAGTTTATCCCTCAGTCACCTATATCTTTTCTTTCTTGTCAAAATCCTACCTAAGAAAAAGGATAGGTCTGTATTCATGCCAGTCAAGGAGTAAATTCCGTTTCTTTTTAAGACTGCCCACCTAAAGTATTTCTGGAACACTGGTAGAATTGAGATAGAATCTACTGCTGAGAAGTCTGTAGTTTTACTTTGCTTAGAATGCTTATAGAATGAAGACAGATTGTGCAAATATGCAAACCATTCTACTTTTCAAATGAAACTGTAAAAATTGATTCCTATGCCTCAAAAAGTACATCAAAATAATCAAATGAAAGTGTATGTGTACAATTATGAATGTTTGTATGTTCCTGCTCTAAGTATAATTATTTCATATAACTTAAGTTAGCATCTTGGCACACTAATTTCATTATATTTGTTTTCTCATGCTTAGTTGGATACTTTTGAATTATATTTGTACTATTAAATGCATGTTTAAATTTACTTTTGTGTGTGTGTGTGTGTGTGTGTGTGTGTGTGTATCTGTGTATATATGTATGTGTATATGTGTGTGTCCATGCACGCATGTGTGCACATATATTACAATATATATTTAGAAAGTAATTCCAAGTTTTGATCAAGTAAAAGTCATGATCTACTTTGAAATTTAAAAGTGCAAAACTATCCATAGTTACATTTGAATTCTTAGGACTGTTATATAAAAATGTACTTCCTTGACAGTTTAATGCAAAATATTTTGAGTCCTACTTATTTTGAAATTTGTTGTACTCTGTCTTGTAGTTCAGGAAGAGAAACTGAAAAGCTGATTTGAATTGCATTTTAAAAACTATGTTACAAAGTATACTTTTCTATAAAAATGTTTAAATGGGTAAGAAATCTTCAGGCAGTCCTGGATGAAGGATGTTTCATTATAACACTGCTAAAGGTAAGAAATAGATTTGTATACATGCATAAACATCTTCACACACATGCAATAGGATGTATAAAGCTGATACAGAAATCTGAAGGATTTCTACCTATGAGTAAAAATAAGAAGAAAGCCAAATCTTTTACCGAAAATTCTATTTCCTTAAAAAAATGGCCTTTTGAATTGTCCATATTTGATCAATTTAGAATTGTTTCAACTATTTTCCGTGTTAATTAGATCAAGAAAACTGGAATTATAACTTTTTTTTAAATTTCAGCATAATTGTTTTCTGGTAATTGACAAGTGGCAGGCTAAAGATTTGAAAGAGACATCAATTGGGATTTATTTGAATTATAATTATCTATGAATTAAATAAGTAATTATTATATTCCAGAGACATAATGGTTAGTTGACTTGTAAGGGTAATAATGTTACATAATGCACTGTACGAAAAGTGCTATGTAATAATTAAAAGGAAATCTTTATGAATAGAAAGCAGAAATATTAATCTCCTTTAACTTTTATTAAAGCTTAGATACATAGATAATTAAAAGTTAATTACAGTAGATTGCTGTGTGATATATTAAATTAAATATTAGAACACAATTCCATAAAACTTTGATGGGAATTAATCTTAATTATTGTTTTATGTTATGTTTTACAAAGAAAAAATTCAGTATGAGTAACTTTCCAATATAAGATTATAATATCAACCACTTTAGCATTAATAATATATATCTATCTTTAATCTTTCTTATACAGTATAAAATACACTCACTAGACTTTTGAACAGTATTTTCAATATAAGTGTAACTATGGATTGCTAATATCAAGTTTAAGATAATAAAATCCATATATTTTCATATGCCAAATGTTTCTGCATATATTATGATAAATGGATTATATTTATTTACATATCTGAATATTTTTATGGAGCTGTATGATTACCTTATTTGTATCTTATCATTTCTTATGTTTACATACATATATTTAAAATAAAAGATTTAAAGCCATACGAGAGACTAATTTGATCAGTGCATTAATTAAAAAAATACTTTTCTAACATAAAGAAATCAAGAAAGAGTTTCGCAAAATACTTAAGTATTTATTTAGCGTTAAATAGAGAAAATATTCTTTATTAGTTATTTCTGCAGTACAGTATTCTCTGGTGTTGAATTATTTGTGGAATACTTACAATATAAATGGCAATGTGTTTGTGCTTTGCTAAAACATTGGCATAGATGCTCTATAGATACAGAGGTAACAAGGAGGGTCTCACAGCCTCATTGTTGCTCTTAGGGCCCCTGATCTTTTAAAAAAAATCTTATTTATTCTCCTATGGGGCCAACATGGTCCCATACCGAAATCTAGACAATTGTGCAGGGTGGCATTATGGTTTGTGGGTGGAGCAAGTAAGTAATGGCCTCAGAATATATAGTTAGTCCTTGACTTACAACAGTTTGTTTTAGTGACCATTTGAAGTTACAGCAGCACTGAAAAAAATGAAAATGTGAAAAAAAAAGTTTCACACTTATGACTGTTGCAGCATCTCCATAGTGAATGTGATTTACATTCAGATGCTTGACAATTGGTTCATGATGACTGCGGTATCCCGGAGTCATGCAATCCCCTTTTGCGATCTTCTGATAAGCAAAGTCAGTGGGGAAGCCAGATTCACTTAACAACTGTGTTACTAACTGCAGTGACTCATTTAACAAATGTTGCAAGAAAAGTTATAAAATGGGGCAAAGCTCGCTTAACAAATTTCTTACTTAGCAACATAAATTTTGGGCTCAATTGTGGTGATAAGTCAAGGACTCCCTGCACTAGGTACCAGGAGATAGTACCAAAGAGAAACAGCCAATTCTCTTTGCTTTTATCTACTCGAGATTTTGGTAGCTCAAATCTGATAGTTGCAGTCTGAGGATACCTTGAACTGTTTCTGCTGCTGTTTATTCTTGTGAGAAATTCTGTTCTAGAATTTTATAAGGAGCATTTCAGTCATCACCTAGGCTGATGACTGATACTGAAAGTGGACATCCAAGCAGTGGCGGGATTCAGCTGGTTCGCACCACTTTGGCAGAACCAGCAGCTGCCCAGGCCCAGAATGGTCTTCTGGAAATGGCATCCACACAGAGAACTGGTTGTTCACTTATTTGAATCCCACCACTGCATCCAAGGTTGTTACTGTAGAAGCCAAGGACTTCCAATTATACCTCTGCATAGAAAAGAAAGTCACAGAAAGCTGAATAAATATAATTTTTATTCTGTCTTATACTGATGTTCCATGGACAGTAAGGATTTCCCTGCATATAACAGAATATAACAGGAACCCAGTAAAGCAGAGAATGATATATTTCATAGTAGGAAATATAGTAATCAAAAGTAATAGACAATTGCTTGTATTTTGTTTCCAAAAATTTATTCTGACAAAATATACCCACCTCCTCTAATATAATCCAACATAAGCAAAATAAAATAAAATAAAATTGTTCATATTAAATGACTCATATTGCCTACAATTTCACTTTTTTATTTCAGAAAATATTGTGTAATATTTATAATAAAATCTTAAAAATAAAATCACAAATAAATTTACATTTAGTAAAACTTACAACTCTGAAAGGAGATATATGGTTAAGAAATAGGAAATTAGATGATGATAAATAGATATCTCTCTCTCTCTCTCTCTCTCTCTCTCTGTGTGTGTGTGTGTGTGTGTGTGTGTGTGTGTGTGTGAGAGAGAGAGAGAGAGAGAGAGAGATTATAGATAATTTCTCCTCTTTATTCTTCCACCATCTGCTCTGTTATTGGAATTCCAAAATATTATGTAGTATATGTCTTTCTTCATTATTTTCTTGGGCTGATAATATATTCTCATCTTCCTTTCATGTGATGTTACAGTTTGTATTTAAAAGGCTACACAGGCAATTAAAAAGCTCTGATCCAAATTAAATTAAAGGCTACAAGACCAATTAAGTTCAGGGGACAATTACATCAGTTTAACAAAATGATGATTGAAAGGTAAAAAGATTTTAGCATTTATTTTGGATTACACATTGAAATATTTAATGATCTCTCTATAAATCACAAAATTAAAAAGAACAGATACATTTTTAGATATATGTTTTAATTTTTTCAAAAATTAAAAAAATGAAGCTTTTCTAAAATTCTGACTTCTAGTGTAATACAGTATATGTTGCTATCCAATATTTAAAGATCAAGACAGAATGTACATGTTTTAACCTTTTAGATAAAGGGCTTATAATTTAGTAATTCTGTGTGAGTACAATTGATGTAGTTTTCTATACTGAAGTAGCCCTAATATAATAGTCCTATGTTACCCCAATGGATAGAGATTGTCCAGAAGTAATGTTTGATGGATTATTTTATAAATATTTAGTGTAGTTTCCAAGAAATGTCTTTGAAAAAAACATGTACATTCGAAGATATACATGTCGGAGAAAATGATTTGATAAATGGGTGTTAACAATATGAATTCATTGCTTTTAGTAACTTCTAATTACTCTCCAAAACATTTCAGTAAGAAAAATGATCTGTATATCTTTTCAAAAGGAGCACTATAACTGATTCA